GGCACTGCTCTGAGGAAGCTCACAGTACTAGGGTCCCTGCTAGGCACTGACAGGACACTGCTCTGAGGAAGCTCACAGCACTAGAGGCCCTGCCAGTCCATGGCAATACTGTCTGGAAGTTAATTGAGCTTGAATCAGGACACAGCTGTGGGGAAGTTCATAGCCCTGGAATCTAGAGCAGGGCACTGCTTGCAGGGAAGTTCGCAGCGCTGTGCTTCCCAGTAGGGCACTGCTGCAGGGAAGCTCACAGCATTGGAGTCCCATCTCCTGTTCTCTTTAAAGACACAAGCTGGGAAGGGTTCATTTCTCCCCCCCTCCCATGCAGAGTCCCCTATGCTGCCATTTCAAAGCTCCTATGGGGCTTGCACCTCAGCCCACCCGACTCCCCCCCCACAGAGCCACTCACCTTCTTCATGTCCTCGTAGAAGAGGAAGAGCACGCAGTGCGTGTCCTTCGCCTTCCACCAGCCCTTCACATGGTCGTGCCACGGACCCCAGCCCACTGCAGCAGAGAGAGCAGGGAGACAGCACCGTGAGCACAAGTGGGGGTGCGGAGCAGTGGGGGGGTCTCCCCAGCAGGGGTCACTCTCCGAGACCACAAGGGCACTAGGGAGATCTCAGAGCTGAGAGCGCAGGGGTGTGGTCTCCCCAGCAGGGGACAATGTCCCCAGGATTGGGGTCGCTGGGGGGGGATCCCAGGGCTGAGACCGTGTGGGGGTGTCTCCCCAGCAGGCGGCACTCTCCTTGTGGGAGGGACTCCAGGGCTTAGGGAACAGGGATGCGGGGTCTCCCCAGCAGGGTGTGCTCTCCCTGGGATGGGAGGCTAAAGGGGCGATCCCAGGGCTGAGAGCACACGGCTGGGGACATCTCCCCAGCAGCGGGTGGGATACTCTAGAGGGGATCCCAGGGCTGAGGGGATGGGGTGACTCCCAGCAGGGGCGCTCACCCCAGGACAGACAACAGGAAGAGGAATTTCTGGATGTCAAGCCAAGGAGCTGGGCTGAACTCACCTTTGCCCGTCATGAACATCTCAAAATACTCGTGCCAGGGGCCCGGGTCAGGCACCACCTTGCTCATTCTCTGGAAGTGGTAGTAGGAGACCATGCAGTCCTTGGCATTACGAGCCACGTACAGGAACTGGGTGAATGGGGCAGGAATGACAGAGGGAGACAGGTTTGCTATGGGTCACTGCTGCAGGACGAGGGGGTCTCTCAGCTCAAGCTTGGGAGGGGGGTTACCTTACACCTCTGTTCCCAGCTGTTGAATACCCACACAGCAGCCCTGCCCAGGGATCACTCACCTAGCTCTGAAATGCAGCCACCTCTGGGGTGGGGCACAGTGGCTTCCATTGCGGGCGTGGCGCTTAGAGGAAGGATTACCTTACACTGCTGTTCCCAGAAGGATGGAGGCAGCAGTTTGACGGGGAGGTGGGTTTTCAGGGTCCGTGGCGGGGGCATGGCTTCGGCCTGTTCCACACCTGCAAGCGGGAGTGAGGTTCAGCTGTTGTGCATGAAGAACCAGCCCCACCCACCCCAGCAGCACCTACCTGAGGGTTGGGGCGGACGAGCCCACTCGATGAAGGGGTGCCGGCGGTGGACGGGGGCGCGCTTGCACTTCTCCAAGTCCCCATCCTGCTGGATCATGTCTACTATCTCCTGGATCCATGTTGTGCCTTCCCACCGGGAAAGGAGGGGAGGGGAGTGTTTATTCCAGCCAAACCCGCTGTGCCCATATTGTTATGGAGATTGGGTTTACTGGCTGCCTTGAGACACCAAGGCCTAGTGGATAAAACACCAGACTTGGGAGACCTGGGTTCTAGTCCCGGCTCTGACCCTGGCCAGCTGGGGACTTTGGAGAAGTCACCTTCCCTCTCTGTGCCTCAGTTTTCCCATCTTTAAAGTAGGATACTGATGCCAACCTCCTATGCAAAGTGTTTTGAGATGTGCTGACAGAAAATGCTATATAAGAACTAGGGATATTCCATTCAGACTGAATGACGGAGCAACTAAATGCTCTTTTGCTTAGTGATAGCCGAAACAAAGGAAAAAGCCACCCTGGGGACAGATAACGAAAGCCACTGCTCAAAGACTAGACTGAATGCAAATACAGGAGGCTGGGGATCGACTCACTTGATTGCAGTTGTGTGTCTATGGCTACGTCCTCACTACCGGGGGGGTGTCGATTTAAGATACGCAAATTCAGCTACGCGAATAGCGTAGCTGAATTCGACGTATCCGAGCTGACTTACCCCGCTGTGAGGACGGTGGCAAATCGACCTCCGCGGCTCCCCCGTCGACGGCGCTGACTCCTACCTGCACTGGTGGAGTACAAGCGTCGATTCGGGGATCGATTGTCGCGTCCCGATGAAACGCGATAATTCGATCCCCGAGAGATCGATTTCTACCCACCGATTCAGGCGGGTAGTGAAGATGTAGCCTAAGAGAAGTCAGCAGCAACGAAGCCCCAGAGACAGCCAAAAATGCCCTGGTAACATGACCCTGAGACAAAGCTAAGCGAGAGAGAGCTTTTGGGCAGAGGGTTGGTGGAAAAGAGTCTTGGAACTGCAAGCAAAGAACCGGTCCCCTGTGGTTTGATCCCTGCTGTGTTCAGGTCAGAGGACTCTATATATTCCTTGTAAATAAACAGAATTGCATCAAAGAAATACCAATTCCAATGTTAGTTTCTCCTTCTAACCAAAAGAACCCTAAAAATTCACTATCCCCTCAGGTCAAAAAGGAGTAACAATGTATTCTCCATGTATAGGGTGACCAGACAGCAAGTGTGAAAAATCGGGACAGGGGGTGGGGGGTTATAGGAGCCTATATAAGAAAAAGACCCAAAAATCGGGACTGTCCCTATAAAATCGGGACATCTGGTCACCCTATCCAGGTATCTTCTCCAAGACATCATCTCCCTCAGCACAGTGGAAGAAGCCCTTTAACGATGCTCCCGGCCACAGGAATGGGTGTACATTGAGTCTCAGTGCTCGTAACTTTCTCTATAGCCTTCCCCTCAGCAAACACCCACCTGCTTTGGGATAGGTGCAGATGAGCAGATCGTCAGGCCTGGCTTGGAAACTCTGGATCCGCTGCCATTCATTACAGGTGGCCTGGGAGAGCAGAATCCCCTCCACTTCGCCCAGTTCTGGACGTCCCTCTTTTTCCGGCATGAGCGCTTTAGTCTGTTCTTTGGACATAGTGTATCGCAGACTAGATGATCACCCAGCACTGAAATGCAGCCACCTCTGGGGTGAGGCACAGCAGCTATTAAACACCCACTAGTGTCCTGGCTGAGATGCTGAAAAAGTAACAATAGAGTAATTGTCTTCCATTTAAACAGTGCCTAGATACCAACCCTGTAAACCGAGCCGGGGATCAGAGAGATAAGAAGGGTTCTCTCCTTCTCCCATCAGCAGTAACAGGCCTTCAGTCTGAACTGAGTTAAGAAAAAAGAACAACCTGTATGCGATGCAGGAGTCAGATTCGAGTCTGGCTCAGATCTTGACTCCACCAAGCTAACAGAGTAAAACCGCTGTTAAAGCAGCAAGACAGGACTCTGATACGCACACACAGAGAGCAAAACAGTTGAGCAAAAAGCTGG